ATTGTACCGGAGTTTTTAAAATAAACTTGTAATGATACCTCATTTCAATATGTGTAAGATGTTTACATGTGATATCTAAATTATCGCCTCTCACATATTTTGTTTTATTCCCATTTTTCAAACGTTTATTTTAGATTTGCTAATCAAGGCATCATTATAAGTAAGCATGTTTTTACGTCTCAGGACTGGAGCTTGCATAACGCAATCCTCCATCTTCATGTTTGTGTTTTTCGTGTTTTACTTCTGTTTTAAATCATTTACTATCCCTGTTATATGTCTTTTAAGACGCCGCACAGGTTTTGCAAGCTCAAATTTTGGATGCTTACCATCATTTCATTTCTGTATGGGTTCCCTGCTGCTGAAACATTTTTCCTTCTTTAGAGAAGTGCGCACAATTCTGTGAGTTCCTCTATTGGATATATTCTTTCAGTGAGCATAATAGAGCGTAACTAAAGAGCTTACTGTGTATTGTACTGTTCTAACGTAGCCTAAAACACGGTTTTTCTCCATCAGTATTTGTGAATTGTAACTATCGTAATTTTATGCTCATTTGAAATTGAAACAATAAAACGATGAAAAGGAAATGTAATCAAAAGAAAAACGTATTGAGAATTATATTACGATCATTTACCTTTGATGCTAATTCTTTTATGCTTTGAAATTCTACAGGACATAACATGTAATAATCGCGCGAACGCGCTTTGAGCACACAACATCAAGGGAATCACTACTCACATGGAAGTGAAACGGATAGTGAGCAACCAAAAGAAGCACTTGTGAAACATATATGACGCCTACAACAATTGTGACACGGACAGGAAATGAATTAAAATAGAAATAAAACACGAAAAACACAAAAATAAACTGAGGATTGCGAGCGTAGGCAAGCTTTAGTTGATGAGACGTAAAAAACATGCTTACCTTAGTAATGAGATTAGCGAGCCCTGATTAGCAAATCTAAGATAAACGCTTGGAAAATAGTGAAGAAAACAATATCGATGTGAGATGATATAAAGATAATACATATGATCAGTATTCATGAACATCACTGATGCTGGCTAACAACTTGAAGTAAGGTGTGAGTTTATTTAAAAAATCCGGTCGAATAGAAGTCAGCTTACCTGGATTCCTTCTGGCATCTAAAATGTGGAATAAAAGCGTAAACAAACCGTTTGTTACAGCATAGCAGATTTCGCTTGGAGCCAATTGTTGCGCTGTTGGCAGCTAGAGCTACGCGCAAAGCGGACGTAATTGTGAACTTTCACGATCCTTATAGGGCCTTTAGACAGGACGCGGAAGTTAATAACAACAATAAAGTTCCACAAAAACACAAGACTAAGTTGCAGACTGTACCTCAGGAATTTACAACACAAAGCCGGACGTGCCAGCTACCTTAGCTAGTCGCTCGATGAAGTTGAATAACGACTTATTGCCCAAACAAGTTCATTGCTCAAAAATGAATTTATGCAATTATTGATTGCTAACAAGCTTATAATAAGTGACTAATTGATAATATTGTATTTACGCAGTTTAATTTTTTGTTGGCAGACGAGAAAACGGATGAAAAGCTCTTTAATAAGAAGGATTTAAAGCGATAATATTAGCAGCTGAGTTTCACTTGCATTTTGCATTACAGAAATACT